CGTTTTGGCCACCTCCTGATCCCACCAGCCTTGGATAGGTTGGCAGCCGAGAGCGAGGATGATTTCCATTTCAATGAGCCAGCCTAGCACGAGAGCAGCCGTGATCCAGATGAGAACTCTCATTCCAGTCGTCACGAATATGCGATGGTAGAGCGCCAGGATGGAGAGTTTCGTGCTGGCGATGGCGAAATCGTAGAAGTGGCTGAAAATGTAATCGCCCTAGCAACAAGTCAGAATGGGGAAGCCAGGAGAAGTGAGCACCTCCACCTCGTAGAGGATACAATTCGCTTACCTGAAGATAGTTCGATATGCTGTCAGGCTTTAAAGTCTGAACGTGACGCCCGAGCCCCTGCGGTGGCCCTGGAGCATGGTTAGAAACATCATCTATAGGTTAGATAACAAGGCGACGCGGACCGTAGACAAGCCCAGCGATACATTCTGCCACGGCGGTGATCTGAGATTTAAGCATTAGCCGCAGGTGCGTCGATAGAAAGAGTCACTGTAATATTGGATATCAGGAATTTCCTTACAGTTGCCCACACGATCAAGTAATCATCATAGCCCAGTTTGTTGTCGGATCTCGGGCTTGCCTTCACAATGAGCCTGTAAATAGTGCTAATGATTTCAAGAGGGATGGGGAGTGCGTAGAAAGCGTTGACGAGGGCTCTCCGATCCTGAGCCAGGTATTCGGCGCTGTAAGTCGTTGTATTATTTGCCATGATGGATAATAGCAGCTGCGGCTGAGGTGAAGTTATAGGGCATAGCTTAGGTGAAATAGAGCCGTCGACGTTGGGGAAACGCTCTCAACGCTTGTCAGAATCAAATGTAGTTTTATGTGAAGGGCAGAAAGCGGGCATAGTGGCAACTCCGAGTCTCTCGAGACCGGTAGTATATTTCTCTCTATTCTCCCTCTCCAGCTGAACAGTGCAGAGTGGCACGACCGATCGGCGAGGCACCCCATTTTCCTGACCGATACCACGGCCCTTTTTTGAGACCTGCCTAGGGTACGCCTCCCTGTGCATACGATCACGCCCGATTTCCGTTCTCGTTGGATGCCTATCAGCCCTATCTATATGCCCGGCACTGAGTTACGGGAGGGAAGATCTCTCGAACTCTTCCATACCCCACAATGATCCCCATGGAGGAATAGGTACCCGTCTTATGTTCAGCATAACTACTATATATTAAGTAACAGGTCGCCTCCTGCTTTTGGTCTGTATAAACATATCTAGACAAGTCCTGCGGCTCTGACTATCTGCCTACTAAGGAAGTAAGTATAGTACAGAATATAGACCTATTTACTCAACTAATAGTTATATGTACCCATAATTACTTCGTGTAAGGTTACTATTCTCGGCATCGCGTTCTTTATTACGTACTCAGTAGACATGCTGCGTGCGAATGCTGGAGCAGTACTGCTGGAGTATTCGACTTTCCAATTGCTACCCTACAGTAATCTAGGACAGCAACCTAGAAAGCGAAGGGCGAATAGAACACCACAATTAACCTGCTTCTTTTCTCGTTATAATGGTTCACTAAGCGTAATAGTAGCATTTCATGTCAAGCCGTTGCTTCTTAGTATACCACCGAGACCTATGGGGAACATGTGTAAGACAAATGCTTGGCCTCGATAAAACGACGTGTGACCTTATAGGTGCTACCTTAATTAGAACTGAAAAACGTATCAGCAGAAACTTCTAGGACTTCTTTTGAATCTCGAGATTATGACATCGCATTATATAGTGACATGCTGTTCTGGTACGGGTGAGATTGAACGAGAGCTAAAACCGAGAGCTGACTGTCTTACATGTACCAGCCCCCATCAATACCTATTACATACATACTACGTACACTATGTTTGTGCTCCGACCATTCCGATTTTGCTGTTCCCATGCCCACCCCTCCAACCAGACAGCTGTGTCGCTCGGTCCTTTCTAATTGGTGTTACAACAAAACAGCGGCGATCTTGTTGAGACATCTTCCCTCCACGAGACGAGGACGGGCTCTGCTGTCCGTGCGCGACCAGTTCCCACGCGCACGGGTCCATCTGCTGTTGTCGCATTCTAGGATTCGGCGCGCGAGTTCTGCGCGAGGCAGGTGAATTTACCTTTTTCTGCCCTGGCCACTACGGCAAATCCTGCCCTTTTTCGACACGGTCCTCGGAATCATGGAGACTAGATGGGCCTTGCGCCGACTTACCTGGCTGGTGGTTGTTGTTGTGGCTTGTGCGACAACCGGGAGATCCGCCGAGCTCCCTCCCTCTGTTTCTGCTGGCCCCATCGTTAGTCTTGGATACGCGACTTATGAGGGCTACTATAACGGGACTTACGATCTTAACATCTGGAAAAGGTATGGGCGCTGTCTCATTTATTTCCGACCGACGTGGCCGAGCTGCTTGCATGGGCCTTGGCCCGTATAAGTCGACCCAGCTGCATCAAAGACGCCACCGTGCTAAACCACCAACGCTGATCTCTCCATGTTAACTGTAAACCCCTCTATAGTATCCGCTATGCTGCACCACCAACTGGAAGTCGCCGATGGCAGGCTCCTCAGGCTCCTCTCCACGAGGGTTCTGCTGTCATCCCGGCGGTAGAACAGCCCCCTCTATGTCCCCAGACTGGTGCTTTTGGCGTACCCCAGGAATATGGCTTTAACTCCGGCCTTGGGAATGAAGACTGTCTCTATCTCAATGTATACGCCGCGCCTAATGCGACTGATCTACCGGTCCTGGTGTGGATTCGTACGCACTCCCTTTCACCATGTCTACCTTGTGCAAGTTTTGACTGACTAAACGCCTTACTAAGATGGTGGCGGACACTCGGTCTTCGGGGCTGAATATGACCCAAGCGTGTGGATGAACACCAATGATAATGGGTTTGTCGTTGTCGAAATGCAATACCGCCTGGGGGCATTTGGTTTTCTTGCATCACCAGATGTGAAGAAAGCCGGTCGCCTTAACACCGGCCTGCTTGATCAGCGGTTTGCCATTGAATGGACTCGTCAACACATAGCCAAGTTTGGCGGCGACCGGGATCGCATCACTGTCGGGGGTGAATCTTCAGGCGCAGCCTCCGCCATTTTTCATGCTTTGGCCCATGGTGGAAACGACGAGGGGCTCTTTGACAACGTATGCTAACCTACTCACTAAAAATTTATCTCATATTGTCAGAGCTTACTAAGTCCTTCTTAGATAATTGCTGCGAGTCCGTACTTTCCGACGGTTTACAAATATTCTGACTCATTTCCCAAAGCCCGTTATGAAAAGTTCGTTGAGCTTGCCGGCTGTAGCAAACCCGCTGGAAACAAGACAACATTTGACTGTCTCGTAGCAGCAGATACTGAGGTGTTGCAAAATGCTAGCGGAACTACTTCGACAACTCTGGGATATTTCGGGAGCTTCGCTTTCCTGCCCGTGATCGACGATGACTACATCCAGGAACGACCAGCCGCTCAGCTATTGAGTGCAAAGCTGAGCGGAAAGCGTGTCCTTGTTGGCGTGAGTTTGCAATTAATGCATTAGCTATGTTACGTCATATACTTATACGCTATGCTAGAATAACGCGAATGATGGGGTTCCCCTATTCAACCCCAACGTCTCAACGCGGTCGCAGTACGACAGCTTCATTGCCGAGACGTTTCCCTTGTTCACTCCCAAAGACGTGAGCAACCTTAATGAGATTTACAAGATTCCAGATGAGCTACCGCCCGACAACGGCATCGTCTTCGACACTCTCGGGTATATAGGACCGACAGCGTTAACACAATCCGGCATAGCGACGGGTATCCAACAATCGGTGTTCAACATCGCAGCCGAGACCGTCTTCGACTGCCCAGCACAGTGGATCGCCGAGGCCTTCAGCACAGGCTACCGATCCGCATGGAAGTACCAGTACTCAGTGACGCCGTCGTACCACGGCGCCGATCTGAGCGCGTATTTCGCCGTTGGCGCGAGGACGCCCAGTGCCGACTTCCGCCAGGCAATGCAGAAGATCTGGGGGAACTTCATCATCAAGAATACACCTGTCATTACTGTGGCGGATGCCCTGGGGCAGTACAACGCTTCTGTCCCCGTCCTTGGAAACAGCTCCAATATCGACTGGCCGCAGTTCACGCACAGCAACCCCGTCCATATGAACCTCAACACCACCGGGGGAGAGATCAGCCTCGTCACGGTCGCTGATACGTTGGCCTATTATGTCCGATCTGGACCTGGCGTTGTCAATACTTTTAGCCTCGCGGATTCTCTTGCTTGGGAAGGGGCTCGTGGTGATCGTTGTGACTTTTGGCGGACTGTTTCTGCCAGGGTCCCGCAGTAAGAGATAAATATAGAATGTAGGATTAGACCATGTAGACAATCAGAATGCAAATGTATAGATTTAGAGGTTACATTGTTAACATGATAATGTTTATTTAGAAGGATGATCATCATAAATGAACTACAGGACCGAAAAATAAACTAGTTCTACTTCTAGACTCTTGAGGACAAGGAATGTATGAACCTTTCACTGCGCATGCACTACCTGCTGATAATCTTAGCAGGGACAAGCACTTCCATGATTAGACGTCGTAACATTCAGAAATGGGAAAAACGCCTAGTGAAAAGATTAAGACCAGTAAAATGCGATTATTAATTCACATCAAAGAGCACAGGGGCAGGCAAGGCGCGTCGCTGCACATTACCAACGTGTATTTCTCTGGACAATAAACCTAATAATCAAATAAGTTGCTATTAGTAGTTAAAACAATGCCAACTTGAATACATAGTAACAAATAAGTGTTATAGGTCGATAATATGGCCTTAGAATAATATCATTTTCGGCTTTCCTGTGCTAGTCAATGTCAAGGCCTATGCAGTGTGTTCTTATACACAAAATTTACAGAGACATAATTTAAAAAGTTCCCCTTAGAACCAATTATAGAAATAAAACAAAAAAGTAGTAGGGAAAAAAGCAAAAAAAGATGGGTTGCTACTCTCATTTCATGAGAGGCATCAGGAATTGAGCCCGATGCGGGGGTCGAACCTATATTAAATCAGGTGATTAGCACGTGACCTGATACTGTAGTGATTGATTGTTGGCATAGGTATCTTACCCGCAACCTTGAGATTAAGAGTCTCACGCTCTACCGATTGAGCTAACCGGGCGCTGTTCGTTGGAGCAACGGCAGCGTATGAGCAAAAATGTCCGGCACAGAAGCCGCGGTGGTTTAGTGTGTGGGCTCTCATTGGACTAGCGACCCACTTATTGTGTGCTTGTGACAAAGGACTTGCAATTCTTGCTGTTAAATTTCCTAAGCTGAAGGAGGTGCGCACCGCGACTGTGTTACCGGTAATAGGATTCGAACCTTAAACCCCTTTATCGCTACTCGCCGCAGTACGACCTAGACTTACTTACCTAAATTACTTTGTACATAGGGTGTATCAAGCAAAGGGGTTTTTAGTATGAGGCTCACAAGTGCGCACTCCTTAGTGTAAGCAGGGACTGTGTATCTAATAGGTAATTAGTGTAGGTAAGGTTGAAATACATGGGACTCTCCCTCGGGTCTTGTGACTTGCGAGCTTCTTATCTCTTTTATTACAGCAGGAACAGAATGCTGGTTATTTTCCTCTCGCACGGAGACGTTTTTGATGAGAGCCGTCCGTATGGAAAAAGCCACAAAGCTCCGTTGGGTCATTCTAGGCTAGAAAGGACTTAGATCTATGGCCATTGCGAGGACAACGAGGACAAAAGTGTGGTTTTAATATTGAAGTCCCGCCGTTGCAGGATTTGTTAGTCTTGTTACCGCCTGTATAGAACCGAGTGCAGAACCCGCAGGGAAGGGTTACAGATTAAAAGCACCCACTACGGTGGATCAAGCAGTTTGATCTATGCTGGGTATAATATTATACTATGACTCTCTGAGTACAGTCTCTCGGATCTTACGGGAGTTCCCGATCGCCTACGCTGTACCTTGTAAAAGTAGTCTAACGCTCCCACCTACACGAGGCAGAGGGCACATGGGCAGATGACGCCAAGCCTAGCTTAGCCACGGCTAACGAGCCGACAAGTAGGTAATGACGCTATCGTCTAAATTTGACGCATAGCTAGGTACAGTAGTGTACTGTGCCTCACCTGCTCTAGCAAGTATTAGCTGGAAAAAAAAAAAAAGGTCATCCCGTGTTCTATGTATACATAGTATAGTAAGTAATTCTCAATTTTCACCTTTTTTGTCAGCCGCACTGGGGAGTAGTGTAGGTATCTAGCTTACTTACACTGCCTTTTACTGCAAGTAATAAGCAAGAAAACCTGGGTGAAAGTGGGTTAAGCGAAGCTGCAGCGACGTACATATGGAGAGTGGTGGAGGGAGGGAAATGTATTTGATCGTGGTAGCTCTTGGCTTTGGATCTTCACGAGGAAGGTAGCTGAGTGGTCTTTATAGCGGAAGTAGTGACGTGGTGTGGTTTTGACTTCTGACTAGGGCATTAGTAGCCTGCCTTGCTGACTGTTTCTAGAATCGTACCCTGTCAAAGGATCGACTCAGGGGGAGACTAGTACTAATCATAGTAGCAAATGTGACAAATCATAGCGAACATGTCGTAGAATATGCTGAGAATAAATCCGTAATCAGGCAAGGCAACTTGTATTAAACGTGGTGACCTTAGTGTAAAAAGTGGGAATTTGTGTAGTTTACCCTCTTGTTCCCTTTGTTCGCCGTGATATATCGCGGATTCCTATCTTCTTTTCTGTAATCGTCGCATCCTGATCGTCCGCGACTTAGAGGTCACTACTCGACCGCGAGATTCACAACTGACCAAGGAATAAAGAATGAACGGATCCGGAGCCACCACGATGAGACGACTACATCCAAACGGCGGGCCCGCACCACGCCCCGTCAGCTGGAGTGCGATTCCGGCCGACGATCCGGCTGCACATGAACAGATGATGAAGTTTATCTCCGAGTCGCTAGTGGATGATATTCAAGGCAACATATCGAGTGGATTTATGAGACAAGTCCAGGCTACCAAGAAGAGCGCCATGTCACCCCACGACAAGGCTGAACGGATGCGCATAGTTCGCGCTATGCGAACATCGCTAGAGCGTCTTACGGAGGAGCTAGGACAGAAATTCTTCGAGGAATTCCGCCACAGGCCGGCTGTTGGCCGGTGGTACGATTCGTGGTTGCTCAATGAAACCCCGCAATTTCTGCGTTGGGATCAGGACTGGGCTTTACCAACGGAGGAAACCTTGGCAGTGGTCAACGCGCGGAGCGTTGGTGGTAGCATTAACGGCAGCGTTGATGGGCGTGTTTTTGGCTCTGAAACTACCCCCGAAGTCAGGGTAGACTTCTCCGAGGATATCGAAGAGATCGAAGAGTCTGAGGATACTCAGGATTTCGCCCAGGTTCCCGAATACATACCCGATGCCCAAGCGACCGAGGTAAGCTAGAAACTGCCCAAGTTCTTTGGATCGGCACAAAGCGCCCGCTGTAGACGGTCAAGCTGCAGTTCCGTTGACGTTGATGTTAGGCGAAAACCGACGGCCCCGCGCCATCTTCTACGGGCTGCCACTGTGAACGTGTGCATGACCCCTCGGATCCGGAGCACGCTGCCCACCTCTGCCAGACATGTGCCTGCAGCAACCAGGGTTATGGGTGCATTGCTTCTTGTGGTTGCGATGAGACATGTCAGAATAACTTCAACAACATCGCTCTCGACAACATTCTCGGCACTGATGACTCCGGGTCTCCGACGAAGCTCGACCCTTGTTTCATCACCTATTTGCAGAAGCACAAGATGGATGGAGTCATCACGCTTGATTACCTATTTGATCATCTTCTGTCCGGTCTGGACTACGTGCCGGACGGCAACGACGACGCGATCGACGCATGGCGGACGACCTGGGAGACGGGATATAGTGGACCAGATCCCGAAGCACGAACGGAAGACCTCCAACGTCAACTTCTCCGTCTCGGACTCGGCCTCAGCGATAAGCAGGGGGATTGGTTCTTCTCCTTCTGCTACAGCGACAATGACCGGATCGGAAGCTGGCAACAACGCGACCAGGTATGGCACTGCAGAGGCTGCGGTGGCTGTAGCGAACGACAAGAGTGGCACTGCGGAAAATGCAACAAATGCGTATACGGGAGGGCGATCCCGTGTAACGGATGCGGAGGCGTCTCGAGTGCGTACCACGAAGCACATAAGGCCTGACTGGAGCGGGATTGGGTCCGAGCTGTCATTATCAAGGCAGTGCTGACCTGCCGAGGGCTGAAGCGAGCTGGGAGAAAGCTGAGGACGCGATTATCCGGCAATCTTCGCATCTCAAGTCAAGGAGCGAGAGCATCATCGTCTGGCCAAGCGTGAAGCTTATCGCCCTTCAGCCCTGAAAAATAACTTAATAACAGAGCATGGCCGGTTGAAAGAGAGCCCGATGCCTAGAAAGAGGCATATGGCAACCAGGTGTGTACATAGTATATGACCCACACTCCTTCGATTATTTTCCTTGAAAGCGTTGAAATAGATTGGCGGCATGGCGGAGGGTATATATATATAAACCCTGTGTAGTACACATCTTTTTGTACATAGTATAGTTGGGGAGGAGTCTGTCTTTGTCATACGGGATTTCCTATTGTTGGATGGAAGTTGGAAGCGTACATACCGTACCTTACTGAACAGCTGGTTACATATATATACCATATATGTATGTAGTTCGGTCTAGTACTTGTCATATAAGCAAGCTTTCTTTTGATGAAGATCTTGGTATTCATCGTTGTTGTTTTTTGAGGAAGGAGGACTATCTAGAAGAGTATCATGGGAGAAATGACGACTGTCTAGGATAGGTGCATTTACACTAGTTTAGTATACATAAAGAAGCTTAAGATAATCAGTATAAGCCTGGAGATCCCTGCCTACGCGTACGTTACAGTGGGTAGCCAGCCTGTAATACTTACCTACCTAGGTAGGCACTAGTGTGAAAGGCATGGGCAGGTAACACCAAACCCCAAGCTCGCCGCGTGGAAAGACGAATAAGTCACTAAACTAACCTCACTACCCCAATGCGTAATGCAGCTAAGTTAGCAGCGCATCAATTGAATTGGGTACTACCTCTCGAACAAGCCTTGTGGATAAAGTGGCATCTTGTTTCCTTAGCGAACCGACATACTCTCTCACTTTATTATTCGAAACTTTCCAATTGTCATCTATCGTCCGTCTAAGCTAATTAGGGCACTCTTTTAAGACATAACGTCACTATTAACATCGAATAGGAGGCGGCTATCACGGCTCGAGTCTGTCTGGCGCCCCCCTCTGACCTCTCCATCCACGACCAGAGAGACATCCACGGCCGTATAATATCTACTTAACTTACTATACTATACGGTATAGTAGTGTTGCCCTGTGATCTCTCGTCGATTAAATAAACCATCACGCCCGCGAGCGCGAGCGCGACGACGCCGACGCCGACGCCGACGACGGTCTATCGTACTACGAGCGGCAAGTCTCGCTCTCTCTATTCGAGCATTGACGACAATGAGGTTGCGCTCATGATTCCTCTCCTTCGTGTGAAGGAGTGTCACCATGCCGCCCGAAGGACGCTCAACCGACATCCGTGTCTTCATAAAATGGGACGACCAGACCGTGTTTGCAGGCGAGGAGATTAGGTGTCAGATCACCTTCAAGAACGTCGCGCCCGGTGCCAGCCCCTTCGTTCCCACGGCGGCTTCGGCTTCGGCTTCCCTCTCGAATCAGCGTCAACCTCTACAGTCATCTCCACGGGCCGATCGCTCGAGGCAACCTTCGCCGCTCCTGAGCCCGAGAGGCGGCTCTACTAATGGCCTGAATTCCCCTGCGTCTGCCCGTAGTCATCGTTCGACTCTGTCCCTCAACGTGCCCTCGACGAGCTCGCGCCTTAGGAATAGCGTGCCGCAATGGCCTCCCCTTCAGCTGCCCGCGCCGCCGCCACCGCCGCCGCCGCAAAACCCCGGCCATGTCCATAAGCGATCCCTCTCCATCGTATCTATGGGTTCCAATGCCACTGTCGACGAGCAAACATACGTCAATGGCACCCAAACGCGGCCTCAGCGCCCTGCTCGTGGTCACGGTCGATCTGCCAGTCTCCAGATTATACCACGCATCGGTACGGCAGCGAACGGGCCTCCGTCGGCAGC